TACTTTTTTATTTGGGTTACGTTGAAATCGAATTACAAGTTCCATCGACACGAATTTGCTGACACCAGTGTTGACCGACAACAGTTTGCCCAATCAGTGAATTTGCGTCGGTGATTTCAATGTAACCCCTTTTATTTAAATTTCTATTCACTAATTTACAATGTCAAACTCTCATAAATTAACACGCGTCAAATCGTGATTTTGTTAGAAAATCTTTCTTCTGTTTCGTTTACTTTCGTCGTGTCAAACTGCATATACAGGATGTTTCCGAAATCGTGATACAATCGGCCAGGACGTGACGTCTACATTTAAACACAAGTCGAACAAAGAAAGAATAAAATTTTCCCCCATGACGCCTCGTTCTCGAGAAAATTTTATCAGGTACTCTCGAATTTCCGTCTAGAGTTGAAAATTAAATTTTCAAACTTGAAACATTTTCTCGAACAAACAAAGACAAACTTTTCCAAAATCAAAGAATTTGTTCTTTCTTTTCGACTTGTTCTTTTTACGTAGAATCACCTGCTTGGTCGGTTGTGCTACGATTTCAGAAACACCCTGTGTAACTGACTCACATTCGCAGATGGCGTACCAAGGAAAATCAACCAGTGTCACCAGCAGAAACAAAAAAAAAAAAAAAAAAAAAAAAAAAAAAAAAAGAAAAAAAAAAAANAAAAAAGAAAAAACAACATTGACCATCCAGAGGACTGACGCGCCGATAGAGAATTAAAAAAAAAAAAAAGAAAAAAGAACAAAGAGAAAAATAGGGATAGAAAAGCAAAGTTTCTGTCTTCAATTACCGATCGCGCAGATTATTTTAGTTGGCGGAGCTTCGACGTGTCTTCGTAGATAATTCAAAGATCGCCGGGGAAAATGAAAGGGGGAGGGGGACAATGAAATTCTCCCCATTGTACGGGGAAGTTTCTCAATCTCGCTGGACGCGACTGCCCTTTTATCACGCCGGTAATTAACTGCCTAACAATTTTTCTCGGCTACAACGCTCAATTTAAACTTTATTAATGAAGGGGGCCACGCCTCATTAAGCCGCCGCCTCTTAATGACGAACGACCTAGCCTAATCTTAGAGATTACCGCGATTACCGCGTTTACTTCATTTGCGCGACTAGAGGCTCCCGAAATTTCTCGAATAGTTCGTCTTGTTAGATCGTGATCCGGTGGTGACCTGGCGACGCGACCGATCATGCAACGTTCGCCATTCTTTCCCTCCGGAGAGAAATCTTAGCGTGTTGTTAAAACAAACTCTCCAAAGAGGACCGGTGAATTTATTTACCAGGGACAAATCGATGCGAGTAGCACTCGAATCGAACGTTGAAAGCAAAGTTTACCCGCCTCGCTTTCTAATTGCTGAGATAAATTCGCTGTCACGGCTCGTTCGACAAACTGATGTTAATTTGTCCGATTTACGAGCCGAGGAAGTGGAAGGAAGGTTGTGTGTGTAACATTTTTGCATCAGCAGCTTCGAACAGTAATTTTCAACGTTTTTTTTTCGAGAATTCAGCGGAAAATTCTAAGGATTGCACGGTTACTTTTGTTTGAGAATTCCTCGAACTCTTCATCTCGCAGTTTCTGGTACGTAAGTTCTTAGCTTTTCTTTCCTTTCCTCTTTCTTTTTGTGTTTCGTCTCCTTTTAATCCATTTGTTGCTTTCTTTTTATACATATCTCTCTTCTATTCCTTTCTTCCTTTTTCATCATTTTGTCCACTTGCCTTTCCTTTCCTTTCCTTCTTCGTCCTTTTTCTTTCACCGCTCTTTTGCCATTTGTCATCTTTAAATTTAAAGAATACGCGAGCAAAACACAGTTTCAGAGCAACAATGGCTCGTGTTTGAAACATGAAGTAAGTACTGGACATTAAAGACAAAACAATAAATTAACAATGCACACTAAATTAACTGAATGTGTCAATAGTTAAAAAACACTTCTCTCTTTCTCCCCCCCCCCTCTTTTTTTCAATCTCCAGCGATAAATATAAGGTGTCCAATTGTTAATCCATGAATGCAATTGTCTTCGTGCATTTATTTGCATTTATTTGTTTCACGCATAGATTTTATAAAATTGAAGTTAATATATCTCCTGAACTATTATTATTTCTTGACGTACATAAATTAATACATTCTTTTACAGGAAATGGCCTGCTGCATCGATCGACATAAAAATTACGCGACTTTAAAAAAATAATTTCCTTTTAGGCGTTTACCTTTGAAACGAGCTACACTAAATTTGAAACACTTTTCGAATACAGAACAGTTATGATAATTGCATTTACAGATGTTGTAAAAATCTAAAGGCACACTAGTTAGTAACTATTTGCTGATGCATAGACAAAACTTTGATAAAAAAAACTTGGTCCGTGAAATCAACGCTCGCAAATTGTTCAATGCCGGTGAAAATAAGGTAATAAACGTAACAACGAAATTCTCAGGTTCGTTGAACGATGCACATAAATTCCGTGCCCTCCCTGTTCGTTCGGCCTCTGCAAATCATTGAAAATATAATTGCCATTTTTGTCGAGCTCGTAATTCCACCCGGTGCCACTCACGCCCTGCTATTCCGCGTGTTTCATTTCATCCGTTGTAAACGTTTCGCTTCACTTTGTCGATATCGTAACATTTTGCATCTCTCGCCCGGTTATATTCCAACTAGAAAATAATAAATATACAAGGGTTATAACAAATATACAAGGCTTGTATATTCGCGTGCATGTACGAGTGATCGACAAGCGAATTAAATCCCGTTCTGTTTCTTTCTTTCTTTCTTTTTTTTTTTTAATACTACGAAAATTAGACTTTCGCTTTAATATCGACGAATCAACAGAATGTAATTTTACTTCAGGAAATAAAAAAGCGAGAAAATACTAGTTGCGATAAATCAAAAGAAATGCTAACGTCCCTTTAGAATAGAACAAAATGATAGTAAGATTACGAACAATCAAGTGCCATTATTTACTTACGATGCAAAGATTGACTCCTATTAACGTAACGAACCTTTATTAACGTAAAGCTTACCTATCTTTTATTAGCCTAAAATATAAAACAAATATTTCTAAAAATACTGTCTCTATAACAAACTCGTTCTTTTACAATTTTCGACTCGTCCATTCGTCAGTTTGGGCTCGCATCTGCTCTTCGTTTGTATTCTACGTTCTCGAACGACACAAACTCGTAAATTAATTTTCCCACGGATTTTTCGAAGTCACGTTCTCGGGCGGATGTTCACGTAACATTCGATTTCTTCGCACGGAAAGATCCTCACCGGTTCGTGGAGAGCAATTTAATAGTAGATTCGACCAGAGTGGTTCACGCTGAACGATTCAACCTTGTGACCTGGTTCTCAGGGATGAAAGTCGTGGCAGTCAGCTGTTCGAAAATGTTCATATCGGGCTATATAAGGCTGGCCCTGGGTTTAGCAGCCAAACGTTCCCTAAATCACCTATGTTTATGTAACATATTCTCCCCCTCACCTTGATTGTACTCGTAGAATATGTGGCGCGGTACAGTTATCCGAATCACCTAATATTTCGAAATTCAATCTTTGAATTTTGCGTGAAATAATGGCACTAGTACGTTACGAGACACTGTTAGCATTTTGATACAATATGGCCACGAAGAAGTATCATGCACTCTGATCAAGCGAGAGAGAATGGTTTATATAAACCTGTAGTTGGGCTGTTTCATTCAGCGAAGAACTAGTATAAAAATACATCAATAGTAAATGATGATAATTACAACTGAAATCACTAAAGTTGAAGAAATTTCCTCTTCTCTGAGAATTAGAAATTACGCTTTTATAGAAAATCATGGTCACTAGCTTGTCAATATACGCGAAAATATTATATATTATATAAATACCATATTACGTTTATTATTATATATTATATTATATTATGTTATTATATATTACATTATATTATATTATATTATATTATATTATTATATATTATATTATATTATATCAAATTTTTATTTAAAACAGTGCAGAGTTTATGATTTTTTTTTACAGAATATTTCGTAAAATATAACTTTCTTGTTTTATGAGGCAATAAAAATATAAAACAAACTGTTTTCACTGAAACGCAAAAATTTCAGTGGCTACGAAAATTTCTCGAAAAATTTATTCTAAAACTCATGTATCCAAAGAATAACGTATAGAAACAGTATAAAGAATGTTTGTAACTTTTACAAATTTTCAAAATTAAATTATAAAATTGTGTTAGACAAGCTAGTTCGTGCCGCTCGCACAACGAGTCTAAATGTGAACACGCAGAAAATAATAATTTGCTCAAAAATAGTGGACAATCGAATGTTGACAACAACGAGAGAAATTGCTTGCATTAGTTCTTAGCTCAGCTAACTCGCTCTATTGAGAAAGTTCGGCTTGGCACACTGTGTATAAGGCGCAGAATACACTCGTGCACCGCAGCACTCTCGAAAACTACTTCAGCAACCGGCTGGTGTATGGATAGAACCGTCCCGATAATACCGAAAATATTGACTTCCAGCGAAAATTGATTCAAATACGGCGTTGCACGGTTCAACGACAACCCTGGCCGCCATTCAATACTTCCCCACTTTTTTCTTTTTTCTTTCTTTCAGTGTTTGCATTTTTTAGGACCCCGAAAAAAAAAAAAAAAAAATACCGGTCATCGATTTCTGTATAAAATTCGGGAAAAATAAATTCTCCATCTGAGTGATTGATAATAAAATATCGCCGCTCAAATGCGATTGCCTCTCTTGCTCTCTCAAAAGGTAACTAATTCCCGTAAAACGCGTGCCGTGTATTTGCTTGGCAATAACGTGACCTCGCTACGCGACTATTTTAATTGATTGCCGGAGGTCTTCCTTTGGTATTCATGGCACTCGAGAGAATTCGCGAACGAAATCGAGCGGCTGCCAATTGGCGTAAAGGCTGCCAACAGAGGAGAGAGAGAGAGGAAAAAAAAACGAATAGGATGAATCACGACAGTGCTTTTGTTCGTGTGCGCCAGTTCCGGTTGAACTTCCTCCCGCAAACCTTCAAAATTCACGGTTTAGTCCCACAAATTCTCATCCCTCCTCAACAAAACCGGCCGGAATTCATCATGTGCGATCATTGCGCGTAAGTCTCGCGGTATTGTAATTGACCGATAATTGAGAAACTATCGGATTATTTCCTAAATGTCGTCTCTTCGTCAAATTGGTAATTGCTGACACGTAATAATTAGTCAGAAATGATTAGCAGTTAATTAGCAGATAACGTAATTATTAATTGGACGAGTTATAATTACGAAGGTAATTGGTGGCAAGTTTTTATAAAGAATTTATAACTCTTTTTGGTGACAAATATTTTGGCAACAGCGACACTTTCCTTAAAATAATTCAGGTATATTTTCCCAATTTGCACGTTGAAATCAATCGATTGATATTTATACGCGAGTTGACTGCGCGCGTAACTAAATATCGCGGCGGAAAATCCAATCCAACAGGAAACCTCAAAGCAAACAATGGAATATTTCGCGCCAACGTTTTATTCATTCTGTAAGACAACAGTTCAACAATTACCAAATCAAATGATGTACACAACCCTAGAAACTACGCCGAGACTAGACCGAGATGCTGTTAAATTTTCACTTTTTGAAGCTACGCGTACAAACACGACGTTACTTACGAAATGATCCAAACGCAGACGATTCCGGGAGACAAGAAAATACAGCTGCTGTTTCTCGTTTTTACAGGAAAGTTACGAGCCAGAAAGGATATGCCGGACAAGTGACGTGCAAATGCGACCAGTGAGTATAGTTTTTATGATTTTTCGATGTCTCGAAAGTTGCTATAAACTCTGCCCGTGTTATGTCCGCAGCGGTGAGAAGAGGAATAACGAACTGAAGGAAAAGGACTTTGGTGGATGCTGCTCGAGGAAGTATGATCCTTGTGTTTTCTTCGAACATCATTAATTTTTTACAAATTCGTATTCCTCTTTTTTCTAAACTTCGAATTTTTTTTAAATATGCTTTCCAATTGTTTTCTAGAAATACGAACTTGCATAAACATCTACCGTCCGTAGCTGTTTATATGTTACAAATGTCAGCTGTTTGAGATTCGTTCAGAAGGCCGAGGCCGATTGAAATAATTACATGATAGTAACAGAAATAACAATAACATAGCAATATTAATCAGCGACAATAACGACAATAACATTAACTTTAAAAAAACAGAGGAAACTCAAACGTCACGATTATTTACATTATTTACATTTCTCCCGTCGTTTAACACGTTGAATATTAATGTTGACACCGATATCGTTTATATTATTTCACTTTTAAGATATCGAGTATCAATTGCCGAGACGTTGAATATCGATATTAATTTACGAGACGTCGAGTATCAATTTAGTATCCCCAGCCTGCTAGAATCGATCTAATCAGTCCAATTCCATAAGTCACTGCATATTATAATTATCAGTATCTTCGATATTTCACGACGCTTCTGATACCTGTATGGCCGCCAGCGCGAGAGAAACGAAAGACGAGGCAGCAGATATTATAATGCACGCGTTAGAGAACGAAATAGAATAGATTCGGAAAAGATATAGCGAGATTTAGGAGAGCGGATAAAAAGAGAGAGAGAGAGAGAGAGAGAGAGAGAGAGAGCAGGTGGTTTAAAATGGACACTTTAGTCGTGCGTTTTAATCGAATTACCCGACTGAATGTGCAGAGAGAGAAAGACAATCGGCGGATGTTGCGGAGCTAAATGCTGCGCCGGAACGAAGGAGGAAGGAGGGTGTTGTACCGCAGATGTACCAAAGGAGAAATCATGCTGCCAAGAAAACTAACCGAGTTGCCTCCTGAGGAAGCCTTTTAAGAACGCTGGCTTCGCAGGGGACCAGGCCAACCCCGGTAAACATCACAAGAGTTAAGCGGCGAGCACAGGCGGCCATATAGGGACACAGGCGGTTATTTAATAGTTCCAACGGGGAACCGTCGAATTTACGCGGCGATCGGCGCGTAAATTTCTCTTCTTTTTTTCTTTTTTCCTTTTTTTTTTTCTTTCCCGTCGGATATACGACAGAACTATTTCGCATCAGAAAGATACACCGTGTATAAATTTCCTCTTTCCGATAAATAGAAGAACATGTGCGTGTGCGTCGGTAAACGAAGGAATGAAGGAGGAGGAGGGGGAGGGGGGGGGAATCACTGGCATTAGAATTAGGACATCGTTGACTTTAAGGGGGAAATTCTACGATTCCCAGGGAAATAGGATGCAAATTGATGTCGTTTTCAGAGCGAGAGAGGCAGCCGGTGGCTGTTGCATGTCCGGCTGTTGCAAGGATAAAGGGAAGCAGAAGGATCCGGATGCCCCCTCGAAATGCTGCGCCGATAGGAAATAATATTCCCCTATAGACACGTATAAATAGAAGAATTCTGCATCGCCATACCATGACCAATGTAATATCGACGTCTCGATAATAAACGATTCTTTGACTGCCCACGTGTGTGTTTGTATCGCGTGTTGTACGTGTCCGTCCGCCGTTCCATTCGATGAAAGCTGTGCACGTAAGCAGATAGCGGGGAAATTGCACGTAATAAAATATCGTAGAACGTGGAAGAATATGTAAAATATATTCGGAGTCGTTTAGCAGATGAAATGTATTTCTGAAGTTGGTCGCGTTTCCGTTTCGTGAGTACAGAAGTACGAAATTTGCACAAACATTCGCAATCTACGCGCGAACGTCGAATTTATCAACAGATTTCAGATAACCTCTAAATTTTCAAGTATCATGTGCGATCACTGCAGGTATCTCTCTTTCTTTCATAGATCATTGTTTGAGACTTGTTAGAAGAAAATATTCAGTTTCAACAAGTTGAAAGTTGTTGACACGTCTCGAAAATGTCTCCTGGTCGAGGGAGCAATTTTTAGAATTTCAAAAATTTTAGCATTCATTTCTAGATGATATTTTAGACAAAAATTACGATACATTACTCGTTTGGAAGTACGACGACGTAATACTGCTTCATCGTAAATCATTTACACGGTTTTAGAACTTTCAAACCGTTGCTAGAGGCGGCGAATACTACGAGATACTTTGAGAAGGACAGACCTACAGTCAGCAGCGTGATATCACCAAGGAATAACGTAACACCTCCGCAATTGTGAGATCAATTCCCCTTATAATTGAAAAGCTTCTGACAAAAATGAACCTTGCCCTAATGTTTAAAAAACGAAAGAATAGTATCGTTAATTCGTTAGTTATCAATTTTATCACATTATGCAATTCCAAAGTTCCTAAACTGTTTTCAAGCAACGTTAGAATATTTGAAGTATTATAAACTCGTAGTATATAATCTCTCGTCACATTATACAATTCTGTTCCTAAAATACAACTTAATATTTTTCAAGCCATATTAAAACATTTTGAGTTTCTTACATTATAAACTTATAATACATAATAGTGTGGTATATAATCTCTCATTACCATTCTGTTCCTAAAATATAGTCTAATATATTTCAAATTATATTAAAACATTTGAAGTCACAAACTTCTAGTATATAATCACTTACGAGTATAATGGCTAGATATTCTAAATTAAAAGTCTCAAAATTTCGATTTTCCAATAGGACAGGATTATCACAACATTTAACCATTATTTACTGCCTTCGATGTGTCTTTCCATGAAAAATATAAATCCTTCGCCCCATTGACAAAGATTCTCTCCGTAGAACCGTTTAATTTTCGCGATAAATCGCCTCGTAGATCATTTTTCACAACATCGGCTCTCCGCCGCTCTGCGTCTCTCACGTCTCTTTCTAACACAATGCGCTACCTATATATACATAATCTGCCGCGGGAAAAAAAAAAAAAAAAAAAAAGAAAAAGAAAAATCTAAAACTTTGACGAGGGTCGCGTTTTTTGTTACGAGAATCACCGCGATTCTTCCAAAATTTTCTCGCAGAGAGACAGTTTTCCATACCGAGCGATAACGTTCCCACGTGGCGAACAGATAACGAAGCGTTTATTATTTGCGGCAGGAGGTCCAACGTCAGCGACGGGGCTTGCTGCTCCTGGAGACAGACCTGCTGCGACGGAGCGTGTTGCAGCCGTATTGGAAACTGCTGTTCCACCGGATCAGGATCTCTGTATCAACCGTCTGGAAGACCGGTGCCCACTTATGGCTACGGTTATGACCAGCCGGCGATGTCGAGTTACTCCGCCGGAATGACCGGTAAGCGTCGTAACGTTTGCAACAAATTTCAGCAAGTTGGACGGCTTTAACGCTTCTAACGTTTTCTCACACCGGCGAGAGAATCGTCTCGACGAAAGTGCCCCTAATTGAGCAGTTTGTCGTTTTCGGCAACGATCTTCCCGGGGCTGGTTAAGTTCGCAGTTAGACCCGGGGGAAAAATCAGAGAAGCTTCCTCTCTTTCTCTCTTTTAGAAACGTGTTGGTTTTAGAGGGATCAAAGACTTACGATTAAAAAATGTCTGCAATTCTCAAAGGACGTGCGAGCTGAAGCATGAAGCCAGGAGTCTTCGAGGGAGAAGTGGATTTTCTAGGTCGCTGCTAGGGATGGGACCAATATGTACTTAGGAATCCCAATTGAGCCAGATATCTAAGTTTCGTGGGGTTTCACGGGTTTTGAATATTAATTGAAAGTAGAAACGTTTTAATAGGTGTGCTTAATGCTTTAATGAATGAATGTAGCTTAGTGACTTCGTAGTGTCGAGTTCAATGTGTACATTTTATTGTACATGTATAATGTATAATGTATAATTCCAATATATAAAATATAACATACATTATATATGTAATGCACAATATACATATGTTATATAATAATATATAATATATTAAATATGACCAGTATGTAAAATATAACATATAATATGTATTATAATATATAATATATTATATTATATATGTAATATATACATATTTTAGTTCATTTAATATTATATAATAACATTATATATATATAACACAAATATTTTATCAAGTTCAATACATACGTATGATGTACACATTGAACTTCAGGATTGATATACATATAATACTACTCGAAAGTAAATATATTTCAACGAGTATACCTACAATGTTTTTCGTTTCATACAAGCTTCGTCTCAAACTTTAAAATGAAAGTCATCAGTTGCTCTTCAACATTGTCAAGTTAATAAATACAACGCATATTTTGTTCAAATGCGAACAACAAATAAAAAAAAAGAAAAGAAATGAAAGTTCGTGATATTCCATCAAATTTCGGTTCAGGAACTCGCGAGACACTCGATCCCATCCGTAGCCGCCACCTCGAACACACATTTTCGTTCTATCTCCTTTACAATTAAAATCAACTCTGGAAATTTCCTAGCCCGAGTCGAAGGCTCTCTCGGAATCTTTTGTATTCCCGTGAAAAGCTCGAGGCCTGTATTAAGTTTCTCCTTGTCGTCGTAACCATAACACCAAATCACCGGAAAGGGAGGAATGAATTTCGCGGAGCAGGCTCGGCACCGTGCCGACAACACGCCGATTGCCAGCTTGTTAATTTAAACGAGTTTTTGAACAACCTGTTCGCACGTTAACATAACAGGATTACACGAATTATCGCGGAAAGGCTAATTCGTGGCAAAACCTTGAAGCAAGCGGAATCAATTTATGCAAAAGGTGAATCGATCGAGCTAACCGATAGCTAGCTGATCGAGTCGTTCATCGATTGGCCACTTGTTTCGTCGCATTAACGATCGATCAGAAAGTTGGCTCGAGAGCCGTGTGTTCAGTTCTCGGTTTGTTTTATTCGCAACTACGTATCAAACGATCCGGTTTGTGGCGATGTTAGAGCTTTCGCGTGTAATCTTTCCGCAGCGAAATACACTCGAGTGAATAAATTTTAATTCAAACTCACGTCGAGTTTGTAGGTTTATCTGGCTTTAATCTGTAAAGCGATTCGTATAAAACGGATAATAAGTGATATACGAGCTGTACGAAAGCCACATTGGCCAATCCTACAAATTGGAAAATGAAGGTGAATCGAACGACGAGCGTTAGGTATTGGCTCTGGTCGCGAATGTCACGCGACTTGCACAAATTGGACGTTCCAACGTGTCCGTGCATATCGAGAGCAGTTGGGAACGCAGTAACAGAGGCGAGAAAATTTCGAGCGGACCGTTGGAACGTTAAGAGACGGATCAAAGTTCAGAGAATCAAAATGTAAATGAAGATTTAGAATCATTAGAGTCAGAGGTAGCTTTGCACTCGTAGTCGCGTCGTTTGAATGAGAGACTGTAGACAAGCCGAAAGACAATTATACGAGTGAAATGTTGAACACGTTAAAGTCAAAAGTCAAAAGTGCAAGAGCCAAAGTCAAAAGTCAAGAGTTGCATAGAATTGTCGGAGGATATGCGAACTGCAATTTTACACAAAGCGTCTGTTTATATGCGTTTTGTCTATTGCAACGACGCGGAGTTTTCGTGACAGTATAGCAAACATCGGATTACGACTATGAATAATGGTGTAGTAATGCTCGCACAAATCACGTCCAGTGTCAGTCATTCCAGATTTAAATTATTGTTGTTTCCTTCCCGTCTCTATATAAAAATGCGCACGATACGTGCACTTGCAGTTTATTAATTCCTCGAGAGTGAAAATTGCAACATGTTAACGCAATGTATTATTTGCATTTGTTTCTAAATCAATTAGCACAATTGAATTCTATTTCACAACGTCGCGTCGATTAAAGAGAAATTTCTTCGTTCACGTCAACAATATGTGAATTATTTTGCAAGCATTGTGTATTATTTCGTTACTTTTAATTCTTAATTGGCTCTGGAACTATGGAGGATTAAAGTATAAAACTTGTATCAGAGAAGTTCGAGTGAAAATGTCAATGTAGTAAAGAACAGAAGCTGTTGAGTTATGTATTTAAAAAATTCAAAAATTCGTTGAAATTTATAAATTGGAAAGAAAAATACGAATTGATCATTTTTTGATAGTTCAAACATGGTAGTTCAAACATTAGTCTTGCTGTTACTTTTTCATATTTCTATCTCTTTAGATACCTTTTTTTTTTTTTTTTTTGAAAACATTATTCATAGCATGAGTGTGCAAGAGTTAATAAAATTATGTTAAATATCTGAAGATTAATACATTCATTAAAATATAAGAATATAAAAATAGAGTATTACGAATATAATGAAATATACATTTAAATATGATGAAGTATGACGATGAAATATAAGAATGAAGTATAATGAATATAATGAACTGTATTTGATATTTAATGAATATGTTCCAATTTATTAACACTAGAACAACCAAACCGATCTCAGATTTTCTAATTTAAGTTTAGGCTACGTTAGGTTTCAGAATTGTTTAAAAGATATCGGTATTCAAATTAATAATTGATCTCTATTTAGACAAAACCATATTTGTAAAGATCTGATTAAAATTTATTTGAATTATCATCAATCGAATCGTTTGCAGAATATTTTGATACGTATCTAGCGTTTAAAGCATAACGATATAACAAGATATAAGAACATAGGAATGAATATAACAAATATACGTATATTTCATTGTATTTACCGAAGTGTAATATTCATTTTGGATCATATAGTCGCAAGGGCAGCGACTGTAATTAATAAGTGAAAAATCTGCCTGAAACCCAACATGCTTACGGCAGTCTGAACAATTTTTCTCATCAGGCGCCACGATGCCAGACAGAGTGCCGTGCACCATGCGCGAGAAGAAGCTACCCATGTGTTTCGGTGGCGATTGCCAAGATTCCATCGAGCGTGCAGACAAACCGGACGAGGGCGAGCTGTCGCCGAGGCAGTCGGAGCGCTAGAGAAATCCTGACTTGAGCATGCACGGCCTCGTTTCATCGACAGGATAAAACCTCCGAAAGTGACAAGCGACATTGTTAAGGCCCCGTGGTAAAATCCTCCGGCAACGATTACTATTTCTTTCTGGAAACACGCGAGACTTCCTTTTTGGCTGGCATACTTCGGAAGTACTTTCGAAATAAAATTCCACCCTCCCAGGGGGGATAAAATAAAATAAATTCACTCTGTTCTCCATTGTTTCGCCGGCAGCAAGCGAAAACACGGTCGAACGGTTATTACAAAGAGCGAGCGAAGATTATCTTCGCAGGAGGCAAAGGGCAAAGCGTGATTAGAAGCGGCGAACAATATTATTTCTGGTAACTTTGTTTCCTCTGCTCAATCGTTTCGTGCCTCGTTCGTAAATTTCTTCCCATCAGTTCGACTCGAGGGAAGACAATTTACGAACACTCGTTTATCACGAAATCATCAGAAATGTACATTTGCCTTTGATAATTTTTCATTTTTGAACGAGCAAGAACAAGATTCTCTTCCTTTGAAATTGATATACCTTTTCCTGCAACGAAATACATATTTCTTGGATAAGATCTCGTTGATTTTTTGATACTCGATTTTTTCACTCTCTTTTCTTTTAAATTCAACGTTCATGAAATTTACGCGAATCGATCGTACGAGTACAACGTTCGTTTTTGGATGCTTTTGTGACCAGGAGAATCGTGCCAGCGTAGCTGGTATTTCGAATGCCCAGGATTAAAAATGTATTAACGTAGACCGGTGTCTGAGAAACATTCGCTATAAAGAATCTAATGGAACGCTAACGAGGAAACGTTTCGATATTCCTCGATGTGTTTCGTAAATTTCTTCGTCGGTGATGTTCCAACCAAGTAAATAGCCGCATAAAGGTTAAAGGTGACATAAAATGATTGTAGTAGCTGTCGTAAAGCAGTGGCTGCTTGATAGTTGTACCAGTGGCTGTGAACATGGATTAACGAAGCAAGTAATTTGTCTTTCTTGCACCCTTTCTCTTTCTACGCCATCGGCTAATAGTTTGGGTATACTTTCTGTGTGTGAGACAATTCTACTGTTAATAGAATTTAATAATTCATTTTTAGTAATTTATACAATAAATTCTTGATTCAATTTCCTTCTAGAGTATTTTAGTAAGTATAGAGTTAATAATTTCTTTCAGAGTAATTTAATAGAATTATTATTTATAATATTTATAATATTTTATATATATTATTATATTTATGGTATTTATAATATTTTATATATATATTATTATATTTATGGTATTTATAATATTTTATATATATTATTATATTTATGGTATTTATAATATTATATATATATTATATTTATGGTATTTATAATATTTTATATGTATTATTATATTTATGGTATTTATAATATTTTATATATATTATTATATTTATGGTATTTATATTTTATATATATTATTATANTTTATAGTATTTATAATATTTTATATATATTATTATATTTATAGTATTTATAATATTTTATGTATATTATTATATTTATGGTATTTATAATATTTTATATATATTATTATATTTATAGTATTTATAATATTTTATATATATTATTATATTTATAGTATTTATAATATTTTATGTATATTATTATATTTATGGTATTTATAATATTTTATATATATTATTATATTTATAGTATTTATAATATTTTATATATATTATTATATTTATAGTATTTATAATATTTTATATATATTATTATATTTATAATATTTATAATATTTTATAGAAAATTAATAATATTTTATATTTTACAGTAATTAATGTATAACGAAACAAAACCAGAAATATTACTGTACAAATATTACAAATGCAGTACCCCTAGCTTCTGGCTGGTGCTGTACATACAATAAGCGAGAAAATATAATTCAGTTTAGTGTAGCGAAGATGGGTTGATCGAACAAATTCTTTAAACTAATTGTAAGAAAAACGAGAATTTCCTGCCCGTTCTTTCGCGTGTGCTCGTCATTAGCGGAGCTAGACTCTGATGTACTAAACACAAACGTCGACTAGTCGTGCGAACGATACTTTCTTCTCTCCTGCACGAAATACAAACGAAAAGGGGAAACAGAGACACAAATAAAGAGAGAGAGAGAGAGAAAAATTTTCGTTCCGCTACAATTCGACGTCCGTTAATGAAGCTAGAATTAATCATCGAGCGACGTCATGGCTCTCATTCAACTCGCTGAAAAGCTACCGAAATACCGTGGCCTAATTCATCCAGCGATCCATTCATCAATGCACAAAACCATCCTGTCGAGTTCAAAATAAGTGGAAACTGGGCCGAACTACAGACTGGCCGTCCCTAGTCGCAAGACACATTTCCGACGAACAAGACGCTATACGTGCCCGCGTGTTCGCCAACTCGCACCTTCAACCTTTTTTCCCCCATGTCCAGAGACGTAGTGCATCTCTCGCTTCGGCTCTCGCCGAGTCGTCCGACGTCGTTTGCATTTGATTTTCTAATTTGCTCGTCAGGGAAACAGGCGTCACGTCGGATCGCGCTGTCGCGCACGACGGCAACCGCAAGACTCGAAATTCCCAGAGTGAAACGCTCGCTGTGTCACTCCGCGCGAGACACACACACACACACACACACACACTTGGAGGTTTCGGTCTCAGACGCGTCATCCGACAGCTTCAATTTGTTTTTCAAAGCTTTATGCTTTATGCATCGTGCTTCGCTCTATCTACCCAAATACATGTGTATCCTCCGTTCGTTTCCAGTCGAGGGAAAGAAAGATTCCACGGAGAGGGTGGATCTTGGTGGAAAAGTTCTTCGCAGAGGAATCGAACGAAGGGGACAATGAACAGTGCGTGCGATTGCAAAGCGGTTGCACGAGCGATCGTGCACGGAGTGGCTGGACGTAGGCAGAAGTGCGTGAGCATCGGAAGGGCGTCGCGGTGAGGGTGCCTCCGTTGAATGCGGAGCGCACGCGCTTACGGTAATACGAGGTTTGGGGCCACGCGGCGGCACCAGTCCGCTCCTCTCAAACCGCGAAACACGTCCCGGCGCCCTCGAGGACGAGAATCGCGAGAGGCCAGCTCTCTCTTTTTCTCCCTCTCCCTCTCTGTCTCTCTGTCTCTCTGTTGTTGTTGTTGTTGTTGTTGTTATTGCTGTTATTGCTGTTGTTACCGCTGTTCTCTTTTTTTTTTTAATTTTTTTCTTTGACCACGATCAATCCGCGAGTTCAGACGCGCTCGTGACAGACGTGTGCGTGTGCGTGTGCAAGGAACACAACAGTTTCGCCATCCGGCGTCCACCCGGAAGTTCGTCTCCCACGGTATATGTCATGATCCTCCGTCGTTCGTACGGGTCCCTCAGGCAACCGCGACGACCGAACGATCGCGACGACGAGGACGACGATCCTCGCGTTCGGTTCGTCGACGAGATTCAGCGTCAACGTAGATCGTAGATCGCAGTGCTTGTTGTGCGAGGAAGAGGACGACCTTGAGTCGCCGGAAGCGGCGTTTGCGTCGCAGTTTGCAGCGATTAACGCGTCTTCCGAGTGCTAATGTCTCCGACTTGGCGGGTTACTCGCGAAGGAGAAGAAGAAACTTGTCGTTCTGGCGAAGCTTTCTGGCGCCTCTGTTCGAGGAAGCAAATTCCGAGTAGGAAGAACCTTTGCCCGAAAGAAGCTGTCGACGAGCTTCTAAAACTATTCCGAACACGAAGCAACCTTCGGTTTTAATTATCTATCGAGCGTAATTATCTACTCGACCAGACGTTTCGTTACCAGCCCGGTGTGAATGGTTAGTGCGGTTTCGTTAATTGCAAGCGAATTGACCGTTATCAAGATCGCAGCCGACCGTTCGTCCGTGTCTCTTAAAGATTGAGGGTTCGTCTCGGTTTGTCGCGACACGAGTTTGCTTTTCCGTCAAAATTTCGCCGAGCGCGCGTGCAAGTTTCGAGTCGACGACGACGAGAGTGGATGACTCGGGAGACTCGGTCGCGTCTGTTCGTTAGCTAATTAGACGACCGCTCGATCTTTGAAGGAATTAAAGTTTTTACCGGGCGTTGAAGTGTTCAACGGTATCATCTGTTCGGCTCGCGAATTTAACTAGAGTGCCAGGACACGTATCTCGATTCATCGACTCGATCTATCGGTGAACGAAAGGATGCTCCATTGATTAAAAGTGTTTTTTTTTTTCTTTTTTTTCACTAGTTCGCGAATATCCTCGTTACGCGAAGAGGATCGAACACACGGTCGTTGGAAATAAACCGATCGGATCGGCTAGAAGATAATTCGGTGAAACAAGTCGTCGGGGAATTCGGCGAGAATACCTCCTCTCTCGCGGTATATATCCAATTACCCTCGTGGATAATGCGCTCGAAGGAGACAAGGAAACGGGGAAGATGAAAGGTCGATTCGTAATCGAGCGATATCGTTGTTTCGCGAAACATAGTTAACGAGAGGAACATGCCGGGTCCTCTGGGCTTTGTGGAACAAAGAATCAGCTGGTAGAATCAGCTTCCTCGAGCTCGAAAAGGGCAAACGTTGCCGCTTTCGGTGGGATCCTATTTATCCGGGGAAAGGAATCCCCGGTACGCGGCTGAAATTGCCTCTCCCCGCGAGCTTTACGTCAATTATCTTTCGAAGATTGTCGGCGTGGAACGACGCGTAAAACCGTTGCTCGAGCGAGTGGCGCGCGCGTCCGACCGAGCGCTGACGAGAGCCGAAACACGAGAGCCGCGTCTTCGAAATTTTCCAGCTGAGTCTCGTCGACGAATAATCCGAACGCTTCCTTCCCATCCTCTCGCCGTGCCTTTATATTCAACACGATTTTCCTTTCTCACGAAACGAAGGAAGTCTCTCTCTCTTCCTCTCTCTGTTCCATCGTTTATTCGTTCGTTCGTCGTTCGTTGATCGAACCGTAGCACGCGTTTCCCATATAACGTTCGACGTTGTTCAAAGGGGGACAAACGTTCCGCGGCGCATTGTCGAACAAGTCGGGTGGAAACGGGACGGGTTTGAACGTGCAAAGGACATCGAACGAGGGAAAGGAGCGAAACACCTTCGAAAGCCAACGGAGGCCTCGACCACCGGACTGCGGATCGATCTCGAAAGAAGAAGCTTCGTGGTGTTCCCTCGGCTCGCGCGTCCTCCAGATCCTCCAGAAATGGGGTTTTGTACATGGTGCGTTTAAACGCTGATTCAGTCCGCCGTTTGTATCGCGCGCGACACTCGGCGAACGATCTGTCGCGGAGGACCAGCGGGCAAGAATCGGCGTGTGTCCAATCGGATTTGCGTGTTGAGCAAGGATCATCTGTTTATCAACGGTGCGGACTGTGTTACTCTGGTTCGAGTGAATATTGAAGCGGATCGAACGTGTCCACGTACATACGAGGTGGACCGGGTCGATTAGCACGGCACTGAATTACTTTCCGGTTTAATTGCCAGCCCTGTAATCGAACCCTGCGGAACCATAAATCGTTCGGGCATAGAGGCGAAGCTGGAGACGGAACGCCCGAGGGAGGCTGCTCGACGCCGTGAATCCGCGCACGCTGGATCCTGGACGTCAGGTAAAAAGTTTCTCGTCTAATCGATCGTCCCTTTCGCCAGCTGTCTCGGTTCACGCGTGTTTTCACATCGTTTTCGTCGCGTGATCGTCGCCGATCATCCGAGGTGAAGCCCTCGAACCGTTCGGCCGCGATATTTTTATCTTTCGACAAGTTCGTGTCGCGTCGAACGAAAAAAAAAAAGAAAAAAAGAACCGAATGCCGAGGCTCTTGGCACCTTAATGAGAATTCGCACGCTACCCCGCGTTGTCGGTGATAGAAAAAGTCACATCGGCGTGCGTGAACACGATTGAACCTCTTGCGCTGGAACGACGTGTGGCCAGAATATTTTCTCAGTTTTAAATATGTTTAAATGTAAACCTAGGCAAAGCAAATGATAACTTTGTTACTTCTCAATAATTTCCATCCAGTAATATCGACGAGTTCAAAAGAAAAAGACGAATTATTGTATACGGTTCGGTCACTCGTTATGGTCCGCAATCGGTCAAGTCAGGCACAGTCAAGAGCTTTTTCTCCCAGAATAGCAATATTTCGTTCAGTTTTAAGTATAACGCAGGCGAAACAAATAACAAATTTATTACTTCTCAACAATTTCTATCCAGTATAATTTCTATTATGCCGACGAGTTTAAAAAGAAAGCGACGAATTATTGTACACGGTTTGGTCACTCGTTATGGTCCGCGATCGGTCAAGTCAGGCACAGTCAAGAGCTTTTTCTCCCAGAATAGCAATATTTCGTTCAGTTTTAAGTATAACCCAGGCGAAACAAATAACAAATTTATTACTTCTCAACAATTTCTATCCAGTATAATTTCTATTATGCCGACGAGTTCAAAAAGAAAGCGACGAATTATTGTGTACGGTTTGGTCACTCGTTATGGTCCGCGATCGGTCAAGTCAGGCACAGTCAAGAGCTTTTTCTCCCAGAATAGCAATATTTCGTTCAGTTTTAAGTATAACGCAGGCGAAACAAATAATAAATTTATTACTTCTCAACAATTTCTATCCAGTATAATTTCTATTATGCCGACGAGTTCAAAAAGAAAGCGACGAATTATTGTATATACGGTTTGGTCTCTCGTTATGGTCCGCAATCGGTTCAGCGCAAGTGGTTAAGTGCTACGCAACGTCGAGAACTTTTTGTCCCAAAATTTCAATATTTCGTCAGTTTTAAGTATGTTTAAGTATAACCCAGGCGAAAGAAATAATAAATTTACACACTTCTCAGTAATTTCTATCCAGTGATATACCAATGAATTCAAAAAGAAGACGGATTATCGTACGATTATTGTATGTTTGGTCACTCGTTACGGTCCGTGAACCAGTTCACTAGCGCGAGAGGTTAACGCGAGGTTACCTGTTCTCTGATCGTCGAGCATCATCCCCGGATAATTACCCAAATTACACCGAGGCGAACGACTCCATTTCTTCGCGTGATTTTGTCTCCGTCTATCGCGGACGCGGTGCTGCATTATGCAAAGAGGACGGTGGCTTTTGTCGACGGAATCAGGAGGACCGATACGAAAGCGTATCGCTGTGAATTACGCGAGAGTGAAGAAGAACGACGTTGCAGGAGGAAGAGTGTCGCCCGTCTTTTACGCTTCGCAGCGACGAGTGCTCTCGAGGGTGGCGCACCCGATTTCTCGCGATGATAGCGTTGATAACGAAGCGATAGGGAAAAGCGTTTTCGTGATTCCATTAGAATGGATCAGTCTAATATCCTAGTAGTGCCAATCGAGTTAAAGGGTGTCTCGATCCGATCCGAGAACGGCGATAATTTCTCCGCGAAACTTGCGCCACCCTCGATTCGTAAATCGCACGGTTTATTGTAAATTTCTAATCGATGTTGGGAATCGTTATGAATTAATCAACTGAAAAGCTTTAAAGACACACCTCTAATCGATTATTATGGACGTTATAATGTCTGAGAGGAGTACTGCAGATTTTAGAGGAAAATCGACGAAATTTCAGAATTTACTTTTCTAATGAAACTTTGGAATGTTGTGAGAAAAGTTTTTAGGCAAATTTTATTTGTGATAAGATTGTCGAAATTCATGCAATTTTAATTTATTATGGATATTATAATGTCTGAGAGGCACTGCAAACTTCAGAGGTTAGGCGATTTTAAAATCGGCAAAGGATTGATTTACTTTCTAATGAAATTTTAAAATATTGTAACGCGATTTGTAAATGAGAAGTTTTTAGAAAAATTTTACTCGTGACACGACCGTCGAAATTCATACAATTTCACATTTGTATCAGGAACTAAAGGAATATTAACATTAATTAACACCAGAATTACCGACGACTAAAGTATAATATTTGTAGCCAAGAAATTAAAGTGCAAGGTACGAGAGAAAGTTAATAATACAATAAAGAACATAGGCTTCTCTTAATAAATTGATATATATTCTGTTAATATATATAATATATTTTTATTAAATATCTCTCGAGTATTTAAAAATACACTGTCACAAGTATATGATATAAATTTTCCATAGAAAAATATAAGTTGGTCATTTCGATCACTTTGATAATTCAAATACTAGCACTGTGTTTCAGATATGTCATGTATTATTATACGTTTAAATTTCCCGTAACTGCGTAAACACCCTTGTTACAATACTGATTTTGTCACGCGGCAAATTTATAGGAAGGCCAGAAATAATGAGGAAATTATTCAAACTTCTTAACAATTCTTATCTCACGTTTGGAATCTCACGGAAAGGCTCAAACTGCGGATTTTATGTAAATCCACGTAAAATTTTAAGGACGCAACGACACGCAGAATGCGCGTAGACGCGCGAAACTGTAGAAAATGTTTCAAACATCGGCGCAACAACGAGGTCAATTCATAACGAAAATCGTTTCGAGCGGCGGTAAATTAAGGCTCATAAATTTTTGACCGCGTAACCCTGATTAATCCCGAAGCCTGGTCCCAATACATCGAAACGAACGTGCAATTTAAACGTCGAGCATAAACTCACAAATGCGTAAATGCATCTGCTTAACGAATTCGCTCGTTGGAAAGTTCCCTCAGTGATCCGCGTCCCGGCGAAATCTTCCGGCCTGGCAAACGGCGAGATTAGTTGGCCCCGATGCCTCGTTGTCCCGGAGATTCCGAGTTCACAAGGTTCCCCGCGGCTCGTTCGATGGCCTCGATAAAACGAAATACAAACGATTCGTCGCAGAGAGCCTCGAACAAATCGTCCGAGGACAGTAGAAATTTCGGTCGTCGCATTCTTAGTAATCCATCGTTGTCCTCCCGCCGTGCAAAATTCTCGCGATCGTGCGTCCATCTTTCTCTTTTAACGGAATATTCAATATACCGCTCGCGTCGATTTCGCTTGCAACCAGATCGTCGTGTCGCTTTCAATTAACCGCGCGTAATTGGGGATAATTGCTGTTAACAAACGTTGCGGCGCGGTTACGTAGCCAGCGGGTTCTTGGGTTACTTGGCTCGCTGCAACCCTCCCGCGTCTTCCGGCTGCCAAGAAACGATGAAATACGGACGACGACGCGATAGGAGAAATCGCGGCTAAAATTCGCGATCTCTCGTCGGTATGACGATTCATCTTGCGTCAAACGGATTAATCGGGAATCCGACGACGAATAGCGACGCTCGTAATAACGACGAATCCGGCAATTAACGATTCGTTCTGACGTGCGTTCACGAATCGGTACGCTCGCTCTCGAACGACACGGCTAATTTATCGTCCTAATCTTTCGCTTAATATCCCCAAGAACCCCGTCTCGAGAGTTTATTCCGTATTAGCATAAGATATTGCGGATGAAATTCGTGTGGTGCAGCACTCGGTGGGGGATGATTTTAAATTAGCTTTGCAACCAACTTGTGAGTTGCAACGGTCATAAACTCCGAGGGCGTCGTTCGTGTAATTGAAACCGCGTGCTAAATGGTTCACGTTTCGTTGTGTTTTCATTTTTCGTTTCTTAGTTCCTCTGTAACTCCTTTTCAAACTCTTCAAAATCGGGATTTTGCCGATAAATTTTCGTCTAGCTGACGAGCTGCGTAATTTTCTGCTCGGAACGATTTTTTCGAATATTGCTCGCGTTTCAAATTACGGGGGAAGCAAAGTTGCCTCAGTGCCGCGCGTCTGACCGTGCACGGCCCTATTTCCCTTACGCCGCTATTTCGTCAACCCTCCTTGGGATCGATATGTACTTACTGTAGTCGAAAGTAGAAACACTTCAATTAATACGATCGTTTTCCACGAATCAAGTTAATGTACAAGTAGGTATATATTCCACTGTATATCGTTCAATATATACACTTCATTGTACATACAGGGTGTCCAAAAATGTTGGGACCAAACTTAGACTAAGTATTACTGAGGTCAAACAGATGAAAAAAAGTTCGGATAAACTTATGCCCGGAAATGACTTATTGAAAAGATACAAGCGTTCAAAGATTTATGGACAAAATTCGTCTTATGATTCGTTGTACAGAGTCGTATACGTATTACAAATTATTATCATTATTATTATACTTATTATCCTAGGTCACATGACCTAACTCGATTTATGGGGTCATGCAAAAGAGTTGGTTTATGAAAAATACGATAGAAACAGAAGATCAACTTTGGAATGTATTCAAAATGCATTTACTATTATTTTCAATACAAATGGAACATTTGAAAGAGTTCGACAATCATTAATTCGACGCCTGCATTCTTGCAGAAGGAAGACCTTTCGAATATTTCTTATAACTGTCGCAATGAATCATTAATATCTTTAAAATAAAGCATTTTCGGACATAAGTTTATATGAATTTTTTTTCATCTATTTGACCCCAGTGACACGCAGCCTAAGTTTGGTCCCACCCAGTATACGAGATGTAACAGAATATGCGGGCATAACTTCACTAAATTGATGGATACATAGCACGCTAAAATAAGGAAAACAAAATTTATAGGACATAATTTTGTCTCTGAGATACGTTTTTGTATCGTATCGATTATTTACGGATGTTTTCACAGAAATTT